GTCATCATTTGAGCGAAAACTTGAAACTTGGCTGGATATGGGCGACTCTGGGCGATCAGATCCACCACATCTTGTAAGAAAGTCTGTTGCTGGTGCCGATGATGGGGAGAAGACGTGATCCGGCGAGTTTGGGTGCAGGCTTTTCTTCCTTCTCCTTGGCCCCCTTTGCTGGGTCCTGAGAGCTCGGGATAGGCTTGGGAACACTTTCGCCGAAACGGTGTCCAGGGTTCCCCTTCAACATCTCTTGTGTGTGCTCCTTCTGCTTCTCACGGAAGTCATCCTTCTCCTTTTGTCGAGGGTGTTCAAGCTCCCGACGCATTGGAACTTTAGTACCGTGCTGCGGACCAGAACTGGCCGGTATATCTTCGTGGTGGCGTGCACGGACGGAGATCAGATGGGCATAGTAGATCGAAGGATGAACAGAGACTGGAGTGGTAGAGCGCACGTATTGGTAGCAGTGTTCATAAATCATGTTCTCCAGCTCTTCCGGCTTGTGGCCAATCTCATCCAGAAGTACAGTATAATGGACAGGGCGGGATGTACCCTGGAGAGCAGCATGGGAGTACAACAAGAAATCCCACCCATGGGGACTCGTCACATCGCGGTTGACGAGAAGCCCTGGCAGAGGGTTGCCGTTTCGGTCCGAGCAGCTCTTGTCAGTCGGCTTCGGGAAAGCTCGTAGATGGTGGCGTTTGTTTGCAACAATGACCGTCATCTTCCCTGACCAAGAATTCAGCTTGAGGCATTCGGCGGCAACTTTTTTGATCGCCAGCACCTCCTTTTGAAGGACCTCCAGGAACTCGGACTCAGAAACACCATCCCGGAAGTAGTAGATATGCTTGGGCGGCTTTCCTCCTTTTCCAAGGGTAGCATTCCACTCAAGCATAAGCGGGAGCAGAATTTCCCGAACGTTTTCGGGGGTGATGATCTCCTTCAGGTCGCCGTTTGTTTGACAGCCGCCCATGTAACTGATGCCTTGTGGGTCGTTGGAGATGCACATGGCAGCAAGCGAGGGAGTCCAAACACCAAGCATCGGGTGCGTCACATCAGCTCCGATGATCACAGACTGGGGCCGCAGTGTCGAGGCAGGGGTCTTGGGAATGGCTCTGCTGGTGACACCACCGAGCTTAGCGTTCACTTTCATCAGAACATTTGAAATGTACTGAGGCTTGTTGTCCATGCAGTGACGCGCCTGGAGAACCTGTGAGGGTACACCCCAACGGCAGTCGCATGACTTCTTGATGCGCAAATAACTGAAGCTGTTCTTGTCGGGCACGATGATAACCAGAAGCTGCGGTAGAATTCCCCACGCCTCACGGGTCTTTTCGTACAGTGTCTTCATTGCGACTCCGATGTCATCCCGCAGTTCGATGGAAAGAGCTCGGTTTTTGTAAGCCCCGCCGTGCTGTTTGAAGAGCTTTTCAAAGTGATCATGGAAGGCTTGAACCTGATCAAACTTGACCGAGGTACGGTAGCCAGCAATGAATCCGATTCCCCAACATTCGAGGGGCTTGATGTTTGATTTGAAAAACTTCTTGCCACGAAGATCCCAACGTCCGGTCGTGCCAGGATTATGTTTGACATTTCCGAATTGAATCTCCGGGTTTGGAAGCAAACGAGCCTTGGTCTTGATCATACTAGATCCGATTTTCATGCCGTAGTTGATCAAGTTGGGATCTTTTGCATGGTCGAGGATCTTGTGGCAATTGAGGATGGCTTCCAAGCGTCCCGTGGGTTTCACGGCAGTCCACTTGATCATGTCGGCAGTCATACGCTCATCAAGCTTATGGGGCCATCGCTGAAGGTGTCGAATGAACAAGATCTCAAGGGGGAAGATGACACCGGCGCGAGTCATCTGAACCAGTGCAGTCTTTCCGTGCTTGATCTGGAAGTTGTACTTCTTGAGGAAATAGTCATAGATGGTAATTTTCTCGGATTTTCCAGTGGCCTGGTCGTCGATCTTGATCGTGTATTCCTTAGCACCGCCGTTAATCAGATGGTCGATGGTATAGCTTCGATTTGCGAGTGGGTATCCTTCGAAATCAGGAGACACTCGAAGACCATGAAGTCGCTTGCTGACTTTGGAAAATTGCTGGGTCTCCATTCTGCTTCCATCCTTATCCAAGATTGGCTCGAGAAGCTTCGGAATCAGGGCCTGGTCGTCCGTCGAGCCGAGGATTCCCCGGATGATATTGATGAGGGAAGCTCGAGAATAGAAAACAGCATGCGCGATGTCCACATTGAGATACAGGCCATTCTAATGAATAGTCAGTTGAAGCTTAATTTTAATAATCGGGGAGTACGATGGTTCTTACAGGTGAAGGCTTGACTGTTTGAAATACGCCTCGATAGCATGTCGCGCCACTTTGGAGCAGCGGCCAGTGGGATTTATCGGCAATTCTTCGAACTTCTGGATCGGGGTGAGTCTCGAGCTTCTCGAAGAAATATGATCTCTTCAGAGCCGTGAATTCTTGCGCTGGGTAATCCCGGATCAAATGATCGAGAAAGTCTGTCTTGGTCAATTACAGGTCATTTCGGGGCGCAGAGAGATCCTATCACTTACTTAAAGCCTCCATCACAGTTTCATCAAGTGGACGCTTTTTTTCGAGCCACTCGTTGATGGTGCCGAGGAAAATCTTCCGGCGAACGCTCATGATGAGACAAATCTCTTCTCCATGAACATCGGCGCGACTGCCCACAGGGCGACGCCATCCACTTGGATAGACAAACTTGTCTCGCAGCTGACGGTCGAGGGCAGTGAGGGACCTGTACGCATAAGTAACCTGCGAAGACGAAGATGAAAGCCAGGCAAAACTTACCAAGCAATGTGCTTCCCGTCGTAGATGGCATCAGGAAGACGTTCCTTGCGGACCTTCGACCGGTAGAAGACCTTGCGAAGAATTTCGGCATCTTGCTCCATGTACTGGCCTCTCTCTGGTGGATCATCAGGTCCGGCACTCTCTTTCCATTTGCCGAGCATGGCGTTGACCTGTTGTTGTTGTTAGACTCGATTGTTCTTGGAAGGGTACCTTGGAAGCGAAGACTGACCTCGTACTGGAAGATGGGCTTGGTCGGGAACTTGATGATCGGGTATGCGTTCATGACAACCTCAACCTCTTTCCCTGACTTGTTCAAGGGTTGGCGAGGAGGCAAAGTAAATTTCGGGATCTAGAACCGAGTCAGCGTAGCTCTCGGAGCAATCCAACAAGATAAATAATGAAAATACATCACTGAAATTTGCAGAGCTGAAATCATACTTACTATCCCTTCATCTTTACCGGGCTTCTCCCGAGGAGGAGGAGTCCATTTTTCGCCCTGGTCGCGCACAAGGGTGCCCTTGATACGCACATACCCAGGAGGAGCAGGCTCCGGGTGGACGATCGGAGGATGAGTAGGAGGACCCTTGCGCGAATCCTTGGATTTCACAGATGCGCTACTCTCGTAGCTGGAGCCAGAGCTTTTCTTGCTGCTGTCGCTCTTTCGGCTGGGGCTATCGCCTTGCTGATCCCGCCGGCTAGGGCTGCGGCTGCGGCCCTGCCCGGTAGATTTCGGAGCCATGGAGCAAAAAGAGCTGGAATTCGGGTATGTAAGAATATGCAACTCTTTCATAGTGCGGGGAAAAAACGGAAAAAAAGAACAGTCCATTTGATACATGAGGAATTGGGATGGCATTAGTGATTCCAAGAAAATCACCAATATAAGGTTGTTCGCCGGGTCAAAGCAACTGCTTCCAAAATCGAAGAAGTGCCACTGCAGGGATATTCACTTACCAGATCACAAAAGAAGGATCACTGTGACCGATTCAGAGAGCCGAAGAGAGGTTGATAGGATATGGTGTAGAATGAGAGGGATTTGGGGAGTCAGTACGGGTGGTAGGAAAAGAGAACAGAACTAGCCAGAAAATAGCGAGGATTGTATCGGGGTGGGAGTACAAATTCCGACGTTTGTCAAGAAGAGGTTTAGGAGATGGAGTGAGAGGGAGATGAGAGGGGGATGAGAGGGAGATGAGAGGGTTGATGTAGAGAGGAAGGAAGCGTGGAAGACGAGGGCGAGCAGGTATAAATCAACAACAACAATAACAACAACAACAACAGAGTCACGGGCAGGCAGGTACGCCAGATGCGTAAACAATGGCAAAGAAGGAAGGAACATCCCTCCTTTTGAACCATTAAATAGTGGCAGAATTGGAAGCCACGGGCCAATATCAAAAGTGGAAGGTGCGGGCTGATTGTCAAACGCGGCCTCTAAACGGAAAGAACCCCCTTATCGAATATGCGATGAATGGTCAGGGTAGCAATTGATACTATTAGGCAGTGAGCATAGTCAATAGAGGAAGAAGGAGGTGGATCACACGAGGCATCAAGTGTCAGAAGTGAATTGATGATGGCATCGATTTATTGCCGAACAGAAGAGTGGCAGCGACTAAATAGTAGGAGTGGTAGCAGCAGCAGCAGCAGCAGTGACGTATCGCTTCTTGGTGAATCAGATGGAAAAGGAGACAGAAGAGCGCTTCTGCCTACTAGTGACTGGATTGGTGATGAAGGTGGGGACGGGATGTATCCAGCTAGAAACAGATATTTCCTTTTATTACATTCAATTATCATTGGGGCTATCTGCACTATCATCCCGAGACTGTACAGGAAAATAGAATTATTTCTCCGCTCAACATGAGAGCTGGGCCGATCAGGCGAAATAAACAACTTATGATCAGAGGGGTTCTGATCCCCAAAACGAAAGCAGACTGACGCCTAACAGATGCGATAGACTCTAATGAGGAATGAAAGGGATTTAGGGAAAGAAGAGTGAAAGAAAGCCACGCAAACCCCAGTCCCATCTTTCGTCAGAACAAGCTTCGTTCAACGCGGGAAATATTGTCGGAAAGAAATCACCCAATCTTCGCACCGCGAAGATGAGATGAGGGTCGTACGGCCGGTGATAGAATCAAGAAAAAAAAGGAAGAGGGAAGGGAGGAGAGGGAATAAGAAAAGAAGGAGGAAGACTTAGCGGTAAGCACCTTGAGATATGTTAGCAATGTTTCCAATTTCCGTGGGGTATGCCTTTGCGCAATTCTGCAGCCAAACTTACCTCCATATGCATTGACCCCACTCTGCGCTGTACCAAGCCCTCTGGCATTGGCTGGGAGCGGGATCTGGGAAGGGCTCGCCGGGATATCGGTGCGGCGAATGAGATCGACCATTTTTTCTGGTGACAAGCGCGGAAGGTGGTATGCCGATGCATGGGGTATGTTGTTGAGTAGCTGGACCACCTCTCGGGGTAGGGGCGCCGGGGATCCTTGTGGTTTGTAGTGGGACGTGACCTGGCCATTGATGGCTTGCCCTCGCTTCTGTTGATCAAGACGGCGACCTTGCGCGGCCTTGAGAGGCGACTCGGCCCGAACAAACTTGCGGGGGCGGTCAGAGTCGTAATCGAAATCCTCGCTGGGGTAAGGTCGCTTTGGCGAGCTAAAGGACATATCATGCTGCCCAGGTGCTGGTGAAGTTTGGATTTCCGGTTTGACGCCTGCGTGTAATGTCTTGGGCTGGGTCTGCGACGGCGACAAGACTGGCCGCACATATACTGGATCGAATGTGGGTGTGGTGTAGCGGTGCGAGAACCGATCCAACGAGGGATCTTCGGGAAAGAGCTCACGCATGCGATTCTCCAGATTTATCACTTGCACCAAATCTCCGTATCGAGACTCATATTCGTGAAGGAAGGCAAAAATGGGCTTAGCTTTCTGAACAGTCTCGGGATCAGAGGCAAATCTTCTGGCTGTCGTCTCGAATACAGCTCGAGCATCTTTTGAGTATATGTTAGTATACGTAAGGTAATGGATAATGCAAGCAGCGACTTACTGATGATATCATTAATGTCAATCAAATGTTTGAGGTATTCGAGGGCGAAGTTTTCATCTTGTGGGAATAGCTTTGCACCGCGTTCAAAGATTTTTGTAGCGGAAGGATCCTTATAGCAGTGATATTCCATGAGCGCACTGGCAATGTAGACATCGCTAGTGATACGGCCACGCTTTCGAGCTTCTGCAAAGATCGATCGAGATCCGAGTTCTTCACCCGCCTTACCCTTACCCTGAATACGACGCATGGCGCGCATCAACGCAATCCAGGCGAAAGAAATGATCTTAGCGATAAGATCGAGATGGGGGGGCGTTAGTTTTCTTCAACGCCGCAATCTGCGCGTCCAGAGCTGCCTTGTTCTCCTTTGCCTTTGCTTCAGAATCATCGTCATCGTGATTCTGTGCCAGTTTGTGATCGGGTTTCTCTTTCGCAAATGTCTCCTTGATACGGGAGACAGCCTCGGCCTGTTTGGCGAACCCCTTGTCGGACAAGTCGAAGAGCGCATCGATGACTTTGTCATAGGGCTCCCGTACTTTGAGGGCACGTTTCAAAGAATCATTGTCTGACTCCGAGGTGATTTCGAGGCGATCGCCTTGTTTGAAGGCTAGCAGGCAGCTGTCGGGGTTCGCCTCGATTCCTTGCTTCAAGAAGTCGTTACCGTCATTGACCATGTCGTTCAGGAAACAAAAGTCGGCAGCTTCAAACCAGATTTCAGGCACAAAGCGCAGAGCCATCAAAGCTTGCTTGTACACATAGGTCACGCGGCCTTTGAAGGCCACGTTATCGTCCTCTTTAAGAACCAGAGGGTCACCTTTCTCCCAGGCAATCCAACGCTTCCACACGTCCACCTGGTGGGCGAATTCAACGTCACCTTCGGATCCGGGGACTGGGGGTAGCCGGGGAAGGGAGGTGCGGATCAAGTCTCGAGTGATGTTCTGTAGCTCGGTATAAGAGCTCCGTGCGGTCATATACGACGGCGATTGTTCCTGTAAAAATTTGCGACCCTAGATAGCAAGTCAGTACGAGTATAGTCTTAGTCATGAAGTTTGGAAATCTACCGTAAGTCGGCCGAGGCCCATTTCGAACTGGTCATACTCCTTCCACAGAGTATTGACAGATTGAGTGGGAACACAAATGGCTCGCTGATAGGCTTTTCTCAGTAAGTCCATTTTCTGCTGATCCTGCCATCCTGACCCGCCGACATTTCCTGGGCCTGTGCGGATGAACTCAATGTAATCGGACCAGATGTTACCACTGTCTTTGTCCATGCCAACGTTTTGGAGGGCAACATCATATGCAGATGAAATGATTTGTCGGCAATTTCCATTTGCGTCCGTCGACAGGGGATTCCGACGGCGGACATAATCCAGATAAACAGTCCAAAGTTTGACACTGCGAATGGTAACAAGTGTGCGGTTGAAGATTTGCTCCACCTGGAAGAAACCATTCAGGTCAGACTCCATCGTGACATATTCCACCCATTGATCGGCCTGCGATTTGTTCTTTGATCAGCTACCATGAAGATTTAGAGGGTCATGAATACAATCTTACCGCCATGGGAAACACCTTCAGGAATGCGTCGTATGTCTCACGAGATTTTTCCAGCCGATTGCGATTTCGGTGCTCCGCAATCAACTCCAGCCAAGCAGTGATATCCCCTTGTGGATCCTCATCAACGCGGTCTTGTAGGATCCCAACACGGTCATAGGGCAGACGACCTTTTGCAGTCGAGGGAGAGTCAGGTACAGGAGTAGGAACAGTACTGTTCTGTAGGCTAGCTTCCTGCGAAGCGCACCGATCTTGGGTAGAGGCAGAAAGATCGATATTGGGAACATGAGCAGGAGAATATGAACTATTGGCACCTTCTGGCATGCTGGCAGAGCCCTGTATGGGCACTTGCGATGATACATCAGGGGAAGTGTTTTGAATTGCATTTCCTGAACTTGGATCTTCAGCCATGATCATGGCATCTCTGGTATCAATCCCCAGCGCAGCCGGAGGCTCGTAGTGAGGCTCGTAGTGAGGCTCATAGTCTGCTTCTTCTTCCTCTTCTTCTTCTTCTTCTTCCTCTTCGTCTTCGTCTTCTTCCTGTCCTGCCTGTTCTTTTGCTTCTTCCTGTTCATCCTCGTCGCCGTCATCGACTTCAAATCCCCCAATGGTTCTGGCCTGGGGTTGCGCAGATGCACCCACAGGTGGTGCAGGTGTGGACGTCTGAGACTCATCGTGCGAAAGATCCTGTGAAACATCTGTGGCGTCATTCGGAAGACTGGTAGCTAGATGTGAAGTATCTTGCGGGTTGTAGGTGGATGTCTCGGTGGACACTTCGTCCTGCTGCACATCAGACTCTGCCGTTTGCTGTTCAAAGTCTAGTGTGCTTGTGGGGTCATATTCTTGGTCTTCGGCATTGGCTTCGACATCTTCTTCTTCTTCATCTTCTTCTTCTTGGACGATATCTTGGTCTTCTAATTCCACTTTCATTGCCTGGTCTTGGAAAAAGGCTTGTTCATCCTGGTCGTCTGCCATGGTTGATGGTATGTGCGCGGGTGAGCTTTTGTTAAGAGACAAAGGAAGGTACTGAGGAGTTGGAGGAGCTAGACAAGCAATTTGAGGTGAGATGAGAGGGGAAAAGAAGCATTCGGGATAGAGATATCAGTGAAGAAGCCGCTGACGAGCGGTGCCAGTGATATCTTGAAGGAGCACTGTGACGCACTGATAGCAATTCACTGGTAGCATTCACATCTCAAGATGTTCATGTGCAAGCTGCCGCGACTTGCAGAACATTTTGCCGGATTGCACGTGGGCGGTCAGTCGCGTCCCTTGCGGGCGCGATTGACGCGCCTCCTCCTCGCATATGCCTCTTTACGGCACTCCAAAGTCCCCTTCACATTCCTTGCGGTGAAGTGTTTGTTTCTCCTTTCCCTGCCCCGGATTCACAGCTTTGACCCTATAAATTCTCTTTCTCTTCCCACGCCTCTCCAACCCACATTCATCGTACATACTCGCATATCACATACTCAAAATGTCCGTCGTCTCGCTTCTTGGGGTGAAAATCCTCAACAACCCTGCCGCCTTCACCGACTCTTATCAGTTCGAAATCACTTTTGAGTGTCTTGAGCAGCTTCAAAAGGGTAAGCTACTCCCAATTGCTTTCCTTTTTTACCAATTTTTTTCTCACCAATAATCCCAGATCTCGAATGGAAACTCACCTATGTCGGCTCCGCCACTTCGTATGTCTACCCCACCATCTGCTTGTATCTGCTCTTCACTAACACCCCATAGCTCCGAGTATGACCAGGAACTCGACTCCCTCCTTGTTGGCCCTATCCCAGTCGGTGTGAACAAATTCATCTTCGAGGCTGATGCGCCCGATCTGAAACGCATCCCTGCCTCTGAGATTCTCGGTGTCACTGTCATCCTTCTCACCTGCAGTTACGATGGCCGTGAGTTCGTCCGCGTTGGCTACTACAATAACAATGAGTACGACTCGGAGGAATTGGCCGCGGAGCCTCCTGCCAAGCCTATTATCGAGCGTATTCGCCGCAATGTTCTTGCTGAGAAGCCCCGCGTAACTCGATTCGCTATCAAATGGTAAGATCATTGTTCCGCCCTTTGTTTATTTACCCCAATTGATCCACTAACAACTGTCTCTAGGGATTCCGAGGAGTCTGCTCCCGCTGAGTACCCACCTGACCAGCCCGAGGCCGATAATCTGGACGATGACAGCAACGCCTACGGCGCTGAGGAAGCCGAACTTGAGGCCGCTCTCGTCAAGGAGCTCGAGGATGCCAACAAAGAGGGCGAGCCCGAAGCTGGCGAGGACCATGAGATGGAGGGTGCTGAGCCTGCCGCTGGCAAGGAGGATGATGACGAGTCCGATGCTGGTAGTGAGGATCTCGAAGAGGACAGTGACGATGACGATGACGATGAACTGGACGAAGAAGAGGGGGGTGATGAGGATGTCGAGATGGGCGATGACTCCGAGCAGAAGGACGACCCTGCTGGCAAGGCCGCTCACCAAGCCCAACCTGAGGTTATGGTCCACTAAATCACACACTGACCACAACCATACTCGACTTCTACACATCTGCCATTTAATTTCCAATGCTTCTTGATGACAACCATTCCGCTACGCTTATGACACCCGGATCAATATTCTGGGTTATACCCCTATTCAACTCGGCATTAATAAGGGTCCACGAAATAGAAAACATTCCATCCAAATTTTTACTCCCTTGACTCCGTAGGGGTCGATTTACATTTTCCTCAGTATGTAAGACAACCTTTTTGACTGGTTGCCGATGTCTCAAACACATTCAGTCTCCGGGGTATTTGCCTCCATGGTGACGATCAGCGGCTAAGAATGACCGGACCGTCCCTTCAATGGCTTGCTATGACGTGTCCAAGGCATTGTGAGTTCGAATTGGGTAGCAATAAATACATAGTTATACGGTCATCATTGGCATCCAGATGGAAATCGGCGTCGCTCACATTCGGGAACTATTAGTCTACAGGCCCAAGAAAGACAGTGGCAGGTATCAATTGCAATTATCCAGGCTTTCAGACAAAGAAAACTTAGAATCCGAACTTGGATCCCAGCGCTAGAAAGGTCGGTCAGCCAAGTATGCAAGGGATGGGTGGGGCACAGTTGTTCGGTCGAAATGAGGGGACTTACCACCAAAAACAGCTTTCCTCTTCTGATTCTGTACGTATTTGCCTACATCGCTAGCGAAGCTACTGCTATTTTCCTCTAATCGCTCCATGGTGTCACCCGCGATCCCGAGCCGTTCGGTGCGCTCCTGGATACCACGCGTCATGGATGACCAGTAGCCATCCTGGTCGCTCGGTCCTGGAGGTGGCGCACGGCCTTCTCGGAGTGCTTGTCGGCGCTCTTGCTCGTCTAGTCTCATTTGTTCGGCCATCCGCTTCGAGGGTGGGCGGTCAGGTCCGCCAACTATATTGGTTATGAGATTTCAGGAGCAAAACAGAAAAGTGTGGTCATTTGACTTACTCAAAATGTCCATATCTTGCGGGGAGATATATTGAGTTCCCGAGATCCATTGCATGTTTGTAATCGTGGGTCGAGGAGGTGTAACCTTCGCGGTGTCAAACAGTCGGTCCTGGGAAGGGTTCCTAAAATAAAAATTAGCAAATTGACTCGACAAAAAGAAAATTTGAAGCCATACATTTTGTGGCCAGCTCCCCAGACGTAGAACAATCCAAGTTCAGATGGGCCAGCCCATGTCATTACACTCCCAGTGGACGTGATATGTGCCTCAGATAGTCGCCTCATATCAGCAATGTGGTTAATTTTGCTGCAGCCAATTTCTTTCAGAGCAGGAATAGAGAACGCGCGGGCATTTCCATCGCCGCAAAGACAGACGAGGCTGTATCCACGACCCTCAGTCTTCACAACCGCCGAGGAGTCAACAAAATAGTCGTCCCATGTCTTGTGTGCACCCTTGGATGTCGCAGGCTTGAAGATCCGGCAACTAGAAGGCGAAACTGCAATGAGAACACCATTTATCTTAGTACCATTTCTCAACCCACCGACTGAGTTTGGCGTAGCGAGAGCACTTTCACCAGAGTCGGCGTCAATTGGGATCAGATTAGTGATCTTATCCTCCATGTTAGAGACACCCGCAAACGCAGCCGTGTAAGCACCATTTGAGGTTGGTAGAATCTTGAAGGTTGCCACATTTCCTCGATTTGTGCCAACAAAGCAGCAAATGCTCGAGTAATCCTCACCCTCCAAGGTCATCACACCAAATTCAATGCACGTAGGCCATTCTGGCGGAGCATCCTCAGTCCCACTCTTCTTTCGTACAAAGCTACTGCGTTTGGGCGTCTTTGAAAATTCAGAAAAGTGTGCAGTATGAATAATTGCAGGGCCGCGTAGGTCGATTATTGCAAGACTGCCACCTTCAAACCCTGCAGCCACAAAACCTACTTGGCTATGCTTCAAAGCCGTCACCGGTCCTTGTTGCATATCTAGTAAGGTCAGGGGAATCAGTCCTGTTTTCAGGCCTGGATCGGTTCGGTGGCCGATCGAAGTCAGTTTCCCGGCTTGGTTTGTACCGACGGCTTCCTCGTGGCCCTGAGAAGGGTTGTTGCCCCATCTAAAAACGACTAGTTCTCCGGTTCGAAGGCCAAGAGAGAGTTCATTGCCCCCACCTGACAGTGATATTTCAGCAACTTCGATGTTTCGGACTCGGCCAACAGCTCTAGCCAAATCGACCTGAACAGCATCGCCATTCTCAATCTCATCATCGTGGCCAGCATCCCAGAGACGAACCGTCCCATCTGCGTGCGCAGTGGTAATGACGTTTCGTTTTTCGAAGCGCTTGAGGGGGTTCTTGGCTTCTGCGCCTCCAAGTACAAACTTAGGCCCTTGCATTCTGCGCTCCCTCAGTCCGAGCCAGGCAGTACGATCGACTGGCGTAAGAGTGGCTTTATTCACGAATGGGTGAACGAAAGACAGGAATGGGTGTAGCATGTTGGTTGGCGTAATGGCATGTCCGCTGGGGAAGCTCATCGTAACCAACTCTCCCGAAGAAAGTACAGTGAGCAACGCAATCGGATCGTGTACACCCGCGAAATAGGGAGAAGAGCGGGGAATGGCACAAAAGTTGATGACCTGTGCACCCGGAGGAATTGGTAGCAATATGTCTCGGCGTGTTCTCTCAAAATAACTGGAAAGTACCTGCCAGGAAGATGTCTGATAGTTCGGAGTCGGGCCCATGTCCAGGAAAGTGAGGCCTTTGTTTGGTTCGCCAACATGCCGGCCACCAGCAACAAGCAGACCAGTATCGTCGGGGTTATCCTTCGCGCACCATGCTACCTTCACAATAGGTTCTTTAGGGCCCGTGGTCTGACCATCTGGTCCAGCAGGCCTCGAGCCACCCGGTTGGTCCACATTCGTGGCTTGGAGCGTACGAGCATGGAGCTTGCGGCCATCCTTTGAATCCCAAAGAACCAAGCTAGTGTCCTCATGAACAGTCAAAACAAAGTGTCCATTTGGATGCCAGACGGCTTCGGTCATCCTGGGCTTGCGTACTCCGCTGGCAGGCGCTTCCGGGTCTCCACCTGGGGCACCAGAAGGCACCTCGTAAATGAAGTACTTCTGCGCGACATTTTGTTTGAATGAGAATGTCACTGCTCCTTCTGAGTATCCGATGAGGATTTTTCCAATATCACGCGTAGAGAACGAGAGCGACACGACTGGAGAAAGTCGGGCTCGGGAGTTTACTTGCAGCCATAGATTTGGAATTTTGTATGCGGTCAAGGATTCTCGATCGAGATCGTATGCGACAACCTCGCCTATGTAAAGATCAGTCTGGTTTTCTTTTGGTCTATCATGCTTTTGTTTAAATTCAACGCACCGTTCGAGAGGCCGATGAATGCGTAGTCAAGGCTTGGGTCTGTCGCAAGTGCTGTGGCCTGGCCCGGGGGTGCGTAGGAGGTCACCAGCTGTTTGGTTTCGAGGGAGTAGATGCTGATTTCGTTTTTGGAATCGACACTGATGAGCTTGTCGGCACAGAACTGGAGGAACTTGGCCGAGGATTTCCGCGGGAATTGAAAGGTGGCCAGCACTCGGCGCTGTCCAAAGACATAGATCTGACCACTGCCGTATGGAGTATCGTTGGTGCCGACAGCAAGGAGGGATTGAACTGGGTCATACGCGATGACGCTTATCTTCGAATTCACACCACATCGTTCAAACTGGGAGACACAGTTAGTTGTGGACGGCGAAAGAGGATGCCTGAAATGCCAAGACAAACCTCGTCAATCTGGAAGAAGTCTGCAACCAGACCTTCCGACAAGTCATGCTGGATACCAGCTTGCTTGCCTCTCAAGAAATGCGCCATCTCCTGCAAGCTGGGGGTGGCAGGGGTATTTGGCAGGATGAAAGGGAAAAAAGTGGTGGAGCTCTTTCGGGGGAAGGTTAGCTGACGACATGGCGGAGGCTAAACGGATCTGCCCCGCTCCGCTCCCGCCTTACGGCTGCAAGCCATGCTGACGACGATGCACCAGAAGCATGAATTATTGAAAAAGCACGGCGGACCAAAGGGTCAGGCCATGGACAGAAAACACCTTGATTCAAATTACAGAATACTGCTATCTAAATTCTAGAAATCGGTATACCGGGGATCACAGCACCGAGGTCTGTCTTGAAATCAGTACTAGTAGTGTTCAAATTCCGAACTCAGGAAGTCACATGCCGAACTATACTTAATTATGAGGCTCCACATTTCCCAGTCACAACTTAAACCTGAATCACTGGCACTCGGCATTCCGAGATGTTCTAACCGAGTCATTGAAAGGAATTTTAAACGAAGTGAGAAAAGAAAAAGAAAACCAAAATCTATGGGCTGAATTCCCGGGTATCATGTCGCTCGAACATGCCAATGTCTGCTTCTTCCCCGTCCTCTTATTAGTACTAGTACATCTAAACTGGACGCATAGCCATCATTTTTGTAATTGTTGCCGTCAGTCGTCTTCGTGCATCGAACTCCTTTGTCTCATCCTGATTCCGATAGTATTGAACAGTGACTTGCGACACCAGGCGGTAGCAGGCATACCTGATACATCACTAGGTTAGCATGAATGGGATATAGCAAGATGCGTTAAGTGCATTGCACCAAAAGGGAAGGGGTCACATACATCAATAGCCGTATGATTTCGCCTGGCGTCCTAGCCAGGGGTAGCCCAGCTCCTGATATCACAGCAGGATTCGGGTTCTCAAAGACCTCGGCCATGAGAATATCGCCCCAGAAGGCGCTGCTAAAGTCAATCACGCCAGACAATTGTTTTGACTCCTCATCCAGGAGAACATGAGAAGATCGGCCAAGTCCAATAACAACCAGGCGTGGAAGTGTCACTTCTTCTAATGCTGATTGTAATCGGCTCAATTCATCTCGAATCTGACCGTATGGTAGGTTGATGAACATGTCTTCGGAATCACGGAGTACGCTTTCAAACAAGGCACAGAAAGCGTCTCTCCAGGATAGCTTCCCGGCTCCAACAGCTACTTGTTGAAGAGAACCGAACGCAGGCGCCACATTCTGCCCGATGGTACCGGCTAAGAAGCCTAAATGACGGTCGATGCCATTTCGTTGTTGTAAAGTGAGCTGACACGCCATTTCTGAGAGAGGCGTTCCTTTCACATATTGTCGTAACGAGTAAGAAGACCCCAGCTGGCTTCCAAAAGGATCATAGTGGTATATTTGAGGGATGCAGGGGTTTGCACTCTGCCCCAGAAGGGCAAGGAACCGAGCCTCAGTTTCGAGAAAGAACCTTTCGTGTCGAAGAAGAGGAGTGCCGGTGGACGGGGAGGCTTTAAGAAGCAATCTAGCTCCGTTTGACAACTTAAGCAGACGTAAAGAATGCATGTGGCCGGTAATACTTTGTGAATTTTGCAGATAGACGGTCGATGGAAACAGCAAAGCCAGAAGAGCGTCAAGTCTCTCATATTCGCTCAATCCGGTGGGCTGTATCATATTGCGAGAGGAATTTGAGGAAACCCCCTTGAGGGGTAAGACAGAAGAATGCGTATATGTTTGCACATTGGATCGATGCATTCTGATATGAAACTGAAGGAGCAGTAGTAGTTCAGGGATGTAAGAAGTGTGAGAGGCCTCCCGGACGCAGTCACCTTTTTACTAGATTAGTAACAGGTGGCCAGGCCTCGCATATGAAGGAGATTGTCAAGGCCAGAACAAATCATGGGGTAAATTTCAGGAACTTGGCATCTTTCTAGGGTTGCTGAAACCCACAGCGGTATCCATCGCAGAGGCGAAGAAGACCAACGATAGGGTCAGGGGAGCCACCAAACCACCAGCATTGTCGACCCACGTAACGTCTAGGAAGGAGAGATCACGGGCCCTTCCCGAACCAGCGCCATACCATTACCTCTGTAGGTTCAACTACGCGAGATACTAGACCTTCGCGGAGGGACTCGTCATACACAGTGAAAGGACCGAGGTAGGTGGCCCACCGATCTCGTTTACCATGGCGCGTTGAAAAAAAACAACATTAAAAGTCTCCAATTGCAGTAATTGTCTAGCGAAAAGGAGCGAGGTCCAAGGCTGTGCATAGCGCAGATAAATAGCACAAAAAAAAAAAGCGCAGTGCTGGCTCGCCAAAGGATCCCGCTCTCAGCGAGGTTGGCATCCGAGCACACGGTGGCCGCCAATCACAGGCGCGCCTTACCGAAATGCTCCGTGGAGCCCATGAGGAACTCGGGCCAAACCAGACTAACAAATCTACTTCCCCATAGAAGCCAGCTGCACCTTCGAAATGATGTTCTTTGAGATCCATTCTGCCCCTCACTATAAATTACTTTTCACCATCGCACCTTGCATCATCGCATCTTGCTCATCACATCCGATTGCTCAATCTTTGAATGGTGGCTCCCCCATGCGGCCATGCCCGCCTAAGGCGCTCCATCGGCAACCGACTCAGTTTAGTACATAGTTACTGGTTTCAAGCAAAAGTTTTGTGGTCTAGGGTACTAGTACTACATATCTCAACGCACATCTATTTGGAATATCCATTCAGGTTTCAAATATTCACTGGTACTAGTACCGTGACCTAGCTGAGTACGCTTACTGGTACTGTCAGGTTTGCTACCGCACCTATTCCCTTGCGTATTACTAGTACTATGTAGGCGGTTTCTTTGATTTATTCAAAAAGTTCTTTGAAGGTTGAATATACTAGTAGTAAAATTGTTCATCCCATGTAAACCTTGTAAGTCTACAGGGACACGGCCACTGGGAACGGTTCAGCCTAAATTGCAGACCTACCGAGCCGGTTGCCGCTACGGAACGCATCCCGCCGTCTGCAGACTAGGAGTCATGCAAAGCGGGAGGGAAAAAGCATAGACCATTTTTTTTAATTTATTTACTTATTTCCTTTTTCTACTCCGTGCCGTGGAACCATTTTAGATGAAATATTTTATACATCACTTATTTTATCTATTGATCGACGATCGGTCCCGACGTTGATCAGAATCGAGGAACACGTTCCATACGGAGTAGCCCATGTTGGTTCTGGTAAGCAGTTATGACCCCTACCAGTGGGGCAAAATGGCTTGAGATCCTCGAGGTGGTATTTGGTATGTACTTAGTAGTAGTAGATAAACCCTTCGGGTGGAAGCGCTTGTAAATCAACAATTTCGGACGCATCTAGAGTGTTGTCGCGAGAGGCAGCAGCCAATTGGAGAAATTGGCATCTCTGATGCACCAAGCCGCCACATCAAGCATTATTGGTCATCATCAAGTCATGCCCGAAGTGAAACAAAGATAATTCCAGACCGAGTAGCCCGGTGAGATGAGTTTTCTCGTTATCACTGCTAGGATTTGGCCTGGATTCCACTGGTATCTGCCTTCTCGGCCTTCCTCGGCGAAGGATCATAGATCTCAGCGAGGTTGTACCGTTTAAGTTTGTCGTAATCACTTTCAACAACGCTCATACCCATCAAGTTCTGGCAGTTGTCAGCAGCAGCATTGGTCATTCGGGCGGGAGGGAAACTCCATCAGAACCTTACCTGGGAAATTTCGAACAAGATCATTACATCGTAGTTTGTCAAGTCCACCGAGTGTTCGGGCCCAACGAGGTCTGCGATGGTTTTGATAATCTCGTCTCGTTTGAACTTGTTATTTCCTCGTATAGATGGTCGGATAGCGAACTAATTAAAGCGGAGCAATATCAGCAAAAGCGCCCCCAAACGGCCATGTTACCTTTCTTGGCATGTTGCAGGCATGACCAATTCGCTAAAAGAAGAGAGGGCTTCGATTGTTTCACAGAGTTGTGACCCACCTTCTTGGGACCCCCTCCTGAATGGAATTGTGGTTTGAGCATTTCTTTGATAAAGGGCTCAAGCTCTACACTCAGGGTCTTCCGGATAGATACAACAGGTGTCATCCGCTTGATGTATCGGCTCCTCTTTGTATTTGGATCTTCCTGTGCTTCGGTACATAGACGATGCACCAGCTGAACAGGGTCGATGGAGTTGTCAACTCGAGCGAAGAGAACTGTTGGGTATGAATGTCAGTACCAGTGATTGCCAGTTGCAGCACCAGAGCCACGGCCTTGAAAATACGTGGCCGCGGACTTCAGTGTGATTGGAATATATGAGAACGCACCACATGGCATTTCTAGACGGGTGACTTCCACTGGACGTCTCTTGCTTTTGTCCTTCTTGTCCTCGGCGGGCTTGAGACCAGCAAGTTCTCTTTGAATTTGAGCCTCGATGTCCTCATCATCATCGCCGTCGGAATCCTCCTGTTCATCTTCATTCTTCTTCACAGAGTCCTCAAAAATCTAAACATGGCGGGTTAGTAGGCGTATGGATCACATCGTAGCACGACTGTCTTTGCGGAACCAACCCACCTGGGAGATGATGTCTAGAACCTCGGCTTTGCATTTCCCTTCCTTACCCATATCGCAGGTTATGAAGATACCCGAATCGCCGGCATCAACATTAACGCGCTGCTTAGGCGGCGGGCCCTGATGATTTAGTTAGCCTCATGCACTCACTCACTCATTGCACTAGTCGGACGGATGCCTAATGTAAAATGATATTCCCGCGTTGTAGAGGAATTTCAAGGGTTGCTTTGAGGATAACATACTTTGCGTCGCTTAGAAGAATCTCCGTTTTGAGGCATGCTGCGTTTTCCGTCTCCTGCCATTGAGGAAATCTAGATATTCCTGTCCAAGAGTGGGGGAGGCAAGTCGAGTTTTGTGTGTCTACCCATTCGGGGTTAGCGGGCGCAAATCGGGTGGAGATCCACCGGAGCTTGGACTGTTGGTCGATCCCGAAAAACAATATGATTCTCGTTTGATTTGATGCCGAGAAGCTTATGTATTTGGTGTTTCATGCTCGATACTTCTCGGCGAATGCACGAGTCGTGCTACCATAGAGTATTATTAGTTGTGTTTTGCCACAGAGGGTGATT